ACTACTACTACTTCTACTATTACTTCTACTATTACTAGTAACTAGTACTACTACCACTACTACTACACTGCTGCTGCTGCTGCTGCTGCTGCTGCTGCTGCTGCTGCTGCTGCTGCTGCTGCTGTTGCTACTGCTACTGTTCCTGCTACTACTACTACTACTACTACTACTACTGCTACTGCTACTACTACTACTACTACTACTACTACCACTACTGCTATCGGGCATATTCCGCCGTCGTTATGTGTTGGCCATGTGAAGGGTTTCGCACCCAAAGCCTAGGTGCGATTTCTGCTCCACTACTACTGCGGCGGCATCCAGGTCGGCGATGCTTTGCACAATCTTGACAGCAATCCCTATCGAAATTCGACTCAGCCCGCCGCCCTGCGCTGTCAGCAAGATTCCTGATTGATGGCTTGCTTTAAATGGAACCTACGTGGTGCACTTGAGGCCCCCACACTTATCTCACGAATCCTTGCTGGAGACTTTCGTAACAGGTCGTGCAGCTGGGCGACGTCATGCGAACGCGCCTGACTAGGCGGGCCTGCCGTTGCGGTTTGCCAGCTGCCTGAGGTTGCCAGTGCAACTATGAGGCAGCATCCAATGACATGCCGATGCAGACGTTAAGACAGGTGTGTGTGTATATATATATATATATATGTACACAAGTTTTAATAGGTGCCTATGTACTTGATTATGATATGTTTCTCGCCACACAAGAGGCGAATTTATGATAGGTTTCATCGTAACATGTTTGGTTATCTTGTAGACCATGGTATTATAGCTACTTGTTGGCTTTCATGAACTTGTATATATATATATATATATCTATAGATATGTCAAGTTCAAGACGAGTTCAACCAAATCTAACCAAATTAAATACACTGCGTAATACTATATTGTACTATGTGATAACCGGTCATACGATATCTTTCCATGTTGCAACCCGTTGCTTGATATCGCGTCATTGCTTTGATGTTCGCCATACTGTTTTCAGCATACGGTTGATCATGATATTCGTCATAATATAATGTAAAAACTACATAACTTGTTCTAAATGGTCCGTGTATGTTCAGAGGCTGTCTGTATTTATGCAGTATCTTATTATACGTGATAATGCGATAGCTGATTAAATTTTGTTATGTTGATTGAACTTTAGCATAGTAGAAACATAGTGAAACATGATTCGATCTGTTAGCACAACAGATCAAGTTTTGCCATGCTGTCTTATACCACATGTTTCGTTGTGTTCTATGAAATTATGCTTCATTATGTTTTTGAACAAGGTGTTATCGCGATAGAATTTAGAGGTATGATGCCTGATGTGTCCACATCCCCTTACATTGCACTACATTACATTGCATTATCTATATGTAGATGTATGTAAATGTATATACATGTTCATATGAATATGTATGTTCCTACGTGTATACATATTTCCTTATTTATTCCAAATAAGTTAGTGCATGTCAGTGTCTGTTCTGCTGCGTTCTATTCTACGACGCAGCATTGTATTATGCTATGGTATGCTATGATACATTAAGTCGCAATATACTACAGTGCATTATTTTGTATTATGTTTCACTCTATTGTGTTTATCATGCCACATCAGACACATCATAGTATAGTACTTTATATCAAAGTTTGATCTACTATGCTGTCACGTTTTATGCGCAAGAAGTGCGACGCCGTCCTATCATGTAGGCTTGAGGATGCCTTTCTAAATAGCGGGTGGTACTTGCTGCTGTGGGTTTACTCGACATGCTCGGCCTGCCTGCGGCTTGAACCTTCCTCCCGTCCAGCTTGTCATTGTTAAGCTGCAGCCTCGTTTGGGCCTTTCATGCTTGGAAGGCCGTCTCGCCGCATGATCCGGGCATCGATGGCGCCTTGTCGTGCAAAGCATGGAAGCTGAAGTGCTGAGGCTGAACAGGGGTTCCTTGATACAAAGTGTAAGAGCTTCTGCTAGTGCCCCAGTTCCACGGCTCTCGTGGGTTGCAGACCTGCAATGTCTGTTCGACATTTGGCACAATGGAAATCTGAAATCTTCATTTGTCAACGTCTCCGTCGCTTGTTTTAGTTGTTGTTGTTGTTGTACCGAATTCCCAAACCATATGATATTGCTTCTTCTTAGTCTTCTTGAGCAGGAGCTCAAGTTCCCAAAATGATGTAATCATAAAGGTTAACTGTCTCTAAGCCAAGATTTGCATTTAGATGAATGAGTGAGAGAGAGAGAGAGAGCTTTACCCGAGTTTGTAAACACACACCCTGCACACATTCTGAATTAGGACTCGCTTAGACTTCGGCAGGATGATCTGAATCAGCGTCGATAGAGAGTCCGTAGCTGCTTCGATGATTGCTTCGCGGATCTCCCGGCAACCTTTATCATTACATTGCTTTTTACACCATTGTGATGTTCGAGGCTCCAATGCATACTCACCCAGAAGAAGACACCGATGAGGAGGCCCGGGGCTTCCGGCGAAGTGGTGTGCATCAGGCTTCAGCATCTTATCTGCCCTGCAGTTTACTGAGCAGAACATGAGGAAATTTAAGGTGAGGTGCACGAATGATGATGGACGACATGGCGACAGTGATGGTGTTGGTGTTGCAGTGCCATCACCACTGCTCAACTCATACCACACAACACTACGAGTACATACGACACGACGACGACGACAGCACTGATACTGCTGCTACCACTACTACTACTGCTACTACCACCACTACCACTACCACTACCACTACCGCTACTACTGCTACTGCTACTGCTACTGCTACTACTACTACTACTACTACTACTACTACTGCTGCTGCTAGTGAGCTAGTGCTAAAACTCCTCCCTCCTCCTGCTCCTGCTCCTACGCCTACGCCCTAATTTGTGTATGTAAAATATGACAGTTCCAACTATCAAGGCCCCTATTTTGGGGCTCCGGCTGCTACTGCTACTATTACGACGACGATGACGACGACAACAAGTACTATTACTACTACTACTCCTGCTGCCGCTGCTGCTGCTGCTGCTACTACTACTACTACTACTACTACTCCTACTATAGTACTGCCACTGCTACTACTACCACAACTACTACTCTAGTAGTATACTGTATTACTACTTCTACTACTGCTGCTGCTGCAGCTCCCGCTGCTGCCAGTGCTGCTAGTGCTACTGCGGTGGCTCCTGCTACTGCGGCTGCTAGTGCTACTGCTGCCGCTGCTGCTGCTCCTGCTATTGCCACTGTTACTACCGCTGCTGCTATTATTTCTACCGCTACTACTCCCATTCACCACTAGTATGGCTGATGCCGCTGCTAGCGCTGCGGCTGCGACTACTGCCGACCTGGCTCTGTATTTTGCTGCCGAGGTTTGGGAAATTAGATTCGTCTTATTATCACCACTCCTCCAAGTTTCGCCCCTCGTCGGTTTTGATTGGCAAACTGCTTCTTGTACCGCTCCACTCCCGTTTGGAGTAGAGTCAACCCTACCCCAAATGCGACGCTGGCCTGAACCCCTAAACTCTCTGAGCCTCCTTTGATATTGCCAGGACGGCGTGCCCTCCCCCGGTGCACTCGAACGTGCTGATAGAGGCAGGATGTGCCCAGTGATCCCCATCCATAGCTTCGAGCAGGGATTAGCCTTGCATCAAACGTGTGCTGTCGACTGCGATGCACTGGCGCACCGGGTCCCGTCAGCAGGGCGCTGCATGCATCGACTTTAGGACGCTCGCACAACCAGACAAGCTGAGCCCGGAGAGTAGCAGGTTGTTTTGCAGATGCTGCTTAACGTTCAATTTTTAAACTACCCGTTCCACATGCACTACTTGCGCTTACCACATCATCTCTTCAAAATATCCTATACGTCATGCAGCGTAGTTAACATGCAGCCCAGCATCTTGCTTCAGGGATCGATGCTTTTCTGGGCCCTCTTCCAGACGAAGGGGCTATGGAACGCCTGGACCGAGGCCCCACTTACTGTTGAGCTTGGGTTCCTTACCGTAAAGATCCGTAAAGTGTGCAGTCATGACCCGGTACCCATCCTTGCACCTTGAACTGCCGGGATTGTCCGGGTCGTGAAAGATTGATCCCTGAAGCCTTAAGCTTTGGGTGAAAAAGACATGTCCTGCACTGCAACTTGCTGCAGACTTGTCCAGATGGACAGCTACAGGGATCTGCGAGAAAGTAATGGACTGCCGCACCTGCAGTTCTCTACTATTCCCGGACTGCTGCCGCATGCTCGCCGAATATCACCCAAATCATTGTCCGAACCTATGGGAAGTTGCATCGGCAATTCGCAAAGCTCGAGCACAAGCACGACTAGGGTGACAAGGGCAATGCGCTCTGGCCGTGCGAACCATATGCACGGTAGCTTAGGTACCGCTCAGGCACCAGATGCTGCAGTCCTGGGGTTTGGACAAATGTTTCCGAAGAGCTGACGGGATTTTGTCTCGGCACTCGGCGACCCAGAGTGAACTAGAAATCTAGTGTTTCGCAGAACCTACACAGTCTGCATTGGATTTGGTGCATGCTTGAGGGTTGCAAAAAAGGGCTGATGTAGAAGACGACATATCCCCATCTCAAGCGGGCTGTAGGATCTCGTTGCGAAGGAGTAGGTGCAGCGCCGAATCTGATGCCTCAAGCCACTGCCACGTGCCGAAGGGAAATGATGGCATATGCATTTCTTGCATCCCAGGCACCGAAATGTACTTCCACTGCTAGACTTTTACAGCCCTGTGACTAGCAACAGCAACGAGGGCTGCTGCTGTACAACAACCACCATTACCACCACGACCACTCCTACCTATCACCACCACCACCACCACGACTACTACTGCTACTGCTACT